TTGTCATTCTTAATTATATGGTTTTTCTATGTGGGAAAAGCAAAGAAGCTGTTCATATCACTGCTTGACTTCGTTGGCAGTTGGTGTTTAGAAGTTGGAATGCTGTGAAATACTACATGCTTCCTGTTTGATTAAGAAATTTCTCTGTCCGGAGAAAGTAAATGGTTACAGGGGCTAAAGGAAAGAACAGAATTTTCATTTATATAATATTTATGATTTTTTTAATATCCTTTGCAGAAAGAAAACTTGTGAAGTATAAACGTTTTTTGAATTATCTTTGATTTATTAAAGCAATCAGTATATATTTAGAATCTAATCTAATAGTTGGATGCTATACAACAGTGAACGAGAAAGCTAGAATCTCTACCGTCATAATGCTTACAGCCTAGTGTGGGGAGGTGTCAATAGATAGTGAAGCAATTATTATACAGTGTGGTTAAGTGTTGTTATAGGAGTAATGCAGGGAACTGTGGTAGGAGGCACCTTGCCCAGACATGGGAAGATCTGGGGAGAATGACTGGAAATGATAATATTTCAACTGGTACATGAAGAATGAGTATAAGGTGAAAATGGGGGGAAGATTGTTCTAGGCCAGTGGTATTCAAAGTGTGGTCCTTAGCCCAGGAGCATCAGCATCATGTGGGGCCCCACCTCAGATCTGCTAAATCAGACAGATGTGGTCATCAAGCTGTGTTTTACAAACCCTCTGGGTGCTGATGCAGAAAACCTCTGTTCTCAGCGATGCTGAGAACCAGAGGTGAGAGAGAGCACAGTATATTAAATAGAGCTGAAGCAGAGAGTTTAAAGTCATTAATAGCTTGAGTTGAGGCTGGAGAGGCCTGATAAGGAGGCCAGATAAGGTGGTTGAAGAGTATGGAGTTTTAGCTTAAGTGCACTTGTTAGCCATTGAAGCGTTTTTAGTAGAGGAACAGTTTGGGCAACTTTGTCTTTTAGAAAGATCACTAGAGAAGAGATTGGTGCTAGGTAGAAAGAACACCTAGGAAGCCAGTGTAGTAGTAATGCTGGTGGCCATGAGGATGGAATAGTAAACAGGTTGAACAGATACTTAGGAAGGAGAAGTTACAGGGTATGGTTATTGGTTAAATGATGAAGATGAGGGGAAAAGGAATTCCCACGTTTAGCATTCAGGCCACTAGAAAGATAGTGGTTCTCTAGCCTCTGAAATAGTGACCGCGGGAGGAACAAGTTGGGGAAGGTTATAAGTTTGAGCTTGGTTTTGAACACAGAGACAGAAGTAATTATGAGGTTGTCAGAGATAACAGTGGGCAATTTGGTATTTGCTTAGAGCTAAGGAAAGAAATAAGGGTCAAATATGTAGATGTGGGAGTATTTGAGATATATAAGATAATTGAAATCTTGGAAGACATATTAGAAAACTCAATGAAAGTGTGTTGAATGAGAATATAGGGTAGAAACAGTAATGTTGCACAGAGGATGGGGAACCTCAGAAATGACTGAGAAGGACCAACCAGGGAGAGAGAGATCAAGAGCCAGGATAGTATGATGTCATGATAGCTAAAGAAAGAGAATTTTCTAAAAAAGAGGCTCCCAGTCATGTATCTGATGCTTTGAGGGGTTAGTAAGGTGAGAACTGAAAAATTTCCATTGGAACAGCCACCAGATTGGTGTGATTTGGGGAAGTTAATGTGAAACTCAAGAATTGACTAGAGTGGGTTTGATGGAGGGGAAGGGGGAGAAGCTGTACCATAGGTAATTGAGAAATTTGTGTGTGTCCAGTGAGACACTGGAGAGCAATTGGCTATGAAGGGGAAAAATCATCAGAGCTGGAAGCCAAACAGGAAGTTATATGGGGATTTCTTTCTTTCTTTCTCCCTCCCTCTCTCCCTCCCTCCCTCTCTCCCTCTCTCCCTCTCTCCCTCTCTCCCTCTCTCCCTCTCTCTCTCTCTCTCTCTCTCTCTCTCTCTTTCCCCCCCCTCCCTCCCTCCCTCCCTTCTTTCCTTCCTTCCTGTCTTTGGTAGAGATTAAACTTACTTGTATATGGATAGGAAAGATTCAAGAGAGAGGAGAAGGAGTGAGGAGGGACTTGAAGAAAGAAAGCAATTTATAGAACAAGATTCTGGAAATAGTAAGAATGGATGGGATTCAGAACACTTGGATGGCAAAGGGTACACCTTTTCCATTGTAACAGAAGGGGAAGAAAAAAATGGGTTTTTGAATAGGTAATTTTAAAGGAAAAAGAGTTTCAGTCTGATGATTTCTAAGTTTCCTCTTTTGGCAACTGCTGCTGGAGAGAGGGAAGGTGAGACTCGAAAGAGAATAATAAATTTAGAGTATTTACTGTGAAGAAGATACAGAATAATAATTAGGGGGAAAATCAGATTTCTTGTGGCATTAAATTCTCAGTTGAGGCAAGACATCATGTGAATTTATAGCAGAATCAATCTGCCAGATATGTTGATTTTTCTCTAACATTTCTCAGAAGCCTTGGTGTAGGTGTGGAAGTGGGAACCAATTGCATTCATCCAAGACTGGTGTTATTCTAAGAAATTGTTACAGAAGTGCAGTGGAGCAAGTAGATTAAAAGATAAAGGTCTCTACTTCCTTATCTGAAACTATAACATTTAAGAAGATCTGAAAACTGATGATTTTTTCTTAACGCAGTGGCAAAAGTTGCTCTGAATGAATAGATATGAGGCTACTTATAACCTTTATTTATCAAACTTAGTGTATATATTCATATGTTTTACTTTAGAGATTAACGTGTATCATTATGGAGTGCTGTCTCAGATTTTGGTGGGGCTGTTACGTCAAACATAGATTATGTCCTCTATAACTGTTCTTAAAACTGGCAAATTTTTGAATTCTGAAGGACATCTGACCTCAAAGTCTTCAAGAAGAGACTGTGTTCTTGCGTTAGCAAAAAAAAAAAAAAGAGGTTGAAACGATATCCTATGGGACCTAAGCCAGATAGGGAAAAGGGGGAAGATAGGGAGGTGATCCATTGGGAAAAAGTAGGATGCTTAAGGAAATAGGTGGCTTCAAAGAACTGATGTAGGGGGATCAATTGAGAAATTTGGAAGAATGGGAAGGGAGTACTCAGAATGTATAAATTTGGAAGAATGGGAAGAGTAATTAGAATGGAAAGAGTATTAGAATGTATCAATCGATTATTTCCAAAGGGAGACAGTTCTGAGTGGTTACAGAGTCCAGGGTGTGACCTTGGAAGTGGGCAGCTGAGTTGTAATGGAATAGAAAGTCATGAAAGATGAGGTCAAGAAACTGAGAGGCTAGAAAATTAGATGAGATACCCAGAGTGATGGCAAGATTTGGAGTGGAATGGAACATCACAAGTTCTCAGATCGCCAATGAGTGGGGCTCTGTGGAAGGTACATTAGATACCAAGATGTGTAAGACAAGGTCTTCACTCTTCCCCTGGACTATCATCTTTTTAAGAAACAAGGTGATACATAATTATACAACATGGTAAGAGTGATTATTATAGAAGCATAACCTAAAAGCTATTTAGTCTAAATGAGGAAAGAGACCCTAGATGTCTGGACAGGTCAGGAGATTAACCATTCAAGAAGAGTTTCACACACTGTTTTGGAACTTTCTGTGTTTGGTAAACATTAAGGCACAACTCACGGATATTCGGTAGAATATCCTATCAAAAATAGTGGTTAGAACTGTCATATTTGCTAGGTAATTTACTAAATGCAGTGCAAGATATGAAGAAAAATGTTGGATGTGAGCTATCTTCAAGAAATATTCTCTAATTTTAGGAGTCACAGACAAACCTAAGGCTTTAGGAAGGGTGATTTATTCTATTTGATGTGTAATTTTCTAGTTTCTCCGTGTTACTTTTTTTTTTTTTTTTTTTTTGCGGTACACGGGCCTCTCACTGTGTGGCCTCTCCCGTTGCGGAGCACAAGCTCCGGACGCGCAGGCTCAGCGGCCATGGCTCACGGGCCCAGCCGCTCCGCGGCATGTGGGATCTTCCCGGACTGGGGCACGAACCCGTGTCCCCTGCATCGGCAGGCGGACTCTCAACCACTGCGCCGCCAGGGAAGCCCTCCGTGTTACTTTTTCCTTTCTAATTTTGTTTTAATAGTTTTATTGACACCTATATCATTCTATTAGAAACTTCCTCAATCCTTTAGAATTCAAGTGAGAGTATAAGTAGTTCATAAGCAAATATATTCTGATTGATGATGTTAAAAATAAGAAAACACATAATGAAACATTATCACTCAACATTTTAGAAGGTGTACTTTTAGAGCAGTGTCAAAGTATGAACTGCTCTCTGAGGGTTACATTAGTTACATATTTCTTATGTCCTCCAAGAAGAAAAACGTTCTCAAACGTCATAGATTGTTTGATGAATGCTATTCTGGGGTAAGGAGTTGTGGGGGAAGACAGTGCTGACCACAGGAATGTTGAACCAGCAAATGCTGGCTTTGGGCATAGTAGCTTTGATGCATAGTGACCTCTTTGAAATGTTGGGACTGATGGTCCTTGTGGGGACTTGCGTTACAAGATATCTGACACAGATTGAACATACTATGTGAGAACAGAAATGCAGAATAATAGGGCAATAATACCCTATCTATAAACCATCTGTGTTTACAGATTCCCTAAATAACGGGCCAAAATAGATTTCACTATGGTAAATATTCCCGTTGCAACGCTCTGCAAAATTCTCATCTGTCTCATGTATTTTAGGCATGATTTCTGGGCCGTGTGGCTTTTCTAGTAGACTTCAATGATGTGCAACCACCAAGCACAGACCTTGTCATTTATTTAACTCCAACTGTCTTTAATCTCGAGAACAGTAAAACAGAAAGAAACCTTGGGGTTTCAACATAATCATAGAACATTACACAGGATCAGATTTTCAAATTCTTTGCTTTTGCTCTTTTTTGGCCACATTTACCGTAGAAGACTTGCGTTATCTACACATCTTTAAATTTGGGTCCATGGTTTTTCTCTTTTTTAACCTCTCTTCCTTTCTCTTTTAGTTCACAGCCATGAATGAACCACAGTGCTTCTACAATGAGTCCATCGCCTTCTTTTATAACCGGAGTGGAAAGTACCTTGCCACAGAATGGAACACAGTTAGCAAGCTGGTGATGGGACTTGGAATCACCGTCTGTATCTTCATCATGTTGGCCAACCTGCTGGTCATGGTGGCGATCTATGTCAACCGCCGCTTCCATTTTCCTATTTATTACTTAATGGCGAATCTGGCTGCTGCGGACTTCTTTGCTGGGTTGGCCTACTTCTACCTAATGTTCAACACAGGACCCAATACTCGGAGACTGACTGTTAGCACGTGGCTCCTGCGTCAGGGCCTCATTGACACCAGCCTGACAGCCTCTGTGGCCAACCTACTGGCCATTGCAATCGAGAGGCATATTACGGTTTTCCGCATGCAGCTCCACACGCGGATGAGCAACCGGCGGGTGGTGGTGGTGATTGTGGTCATCTGGACCATGGCCATTGTTATGGGGGCCATACCCAGTGTGGGCTGGAACTGCATCTGTGATATTGAAAACTGTTCCAACATGGCACCCCTCTACAGTGACTCTTACTTGGTCTTCTGGGCCATTTTCAACTTGGTGACCTTTGTCGTCATGGTGGTTCTCTATGCTCATATCTTTGGCTACGTTCGCCAGAGGACTATGAGGATGTCTCGGCATAGTTCTGGGCCGCGGCGCAATCGGGATACCATGATGAGTCTTCTGAAGACTGTGGTCATCGTGCTCGGTGAGTTGTGTCTTGACTGTAACTTACTTTACGGATTCTCGATGTCTTAATACAAACCAGGGTAGTTTATGATAGTGGTAAGCAACAGTGTGAACATCAGCGGGTATATATGCAGGAATTACAAGGGGACATGGCACCTTTATAGCAAATGTTTATGATGAAGTCAGCATCCCAGTCTTTCTATAATTACAGAACTGGTTTCAGGGAAATAATGTCTCAGTGATGTGTTATAAATCATGGTGATGTGGAAGATGTCATTGACGAGTTTGGCTATCAAGTATTGAAGGATATCAGCTTTTGAAAGGTTTTATTACAGCCCAAATTGTGGAACTTTTGCCTGTAGTCTCTTTATTACAGATTCTCAGAAAGTGTTCTTACTGTCCCACGTATATGCTTTCACACATAGCTATTTTTATGAGTCTGTTTCCAAATAAGGAGTCTTTCACTTTCTGTCATTGTTACTGCACACACGTAGGTAAGTATATCAAGTTTTTGTATAGATTTATTGCACAAAATGGGTTGGAATTAATACCATCTCTGACAGTCACCTGTATGAAAACTTACTTTTTTTCCATTAATTTTCGGTTTTTAGTGGTGGAAGTTAATTCATATTTCAAGGTGAAAAGCAGGATTTTATTCTTTTATGTAATGTATACTCGAATAACTTTTGCCTTTAAATAACTGTTGTTTTTCCTGGGTGAAAAATTCATGGTTAATGATCACAAGGAATATATTTATTCGTTTATGTATTCAGAAAATAGTTAAAGAGAACCTCATACGTTCCAGGCCCTGTGCTAACTCCCGGAAATGTGTCCATGAAGACAGCATACACAGAACATTTCTTTTGGAGCTTAGAGGGCCTATTTTTAAAGTTCACCCAGTGAGAATTTTAAATAATTACCCTATTGAATTACATTTTCTCCATGGGCTATATTTGGGTTAATGTCTGATCACATTTTAAAAGTATCTTTTAAAAAATCTTTAGTAGTTCATCTTTCTCCATTGAAATTCAGTGGAAAGTTCCTCTAATGCTCTTTGTTCCAGTTTGTAAAGCAGGGTTGAGTGGATGGAACCTGGGATGGTGTGGCTCCTCTGAAACTCTGGGAGCTACTTTAATCTTAGCCCCAGGAAAGAGAGCCCTAATTATGGCTCTAAGAATAAAGACCAGGCCTTGGGATTGCCGACACAACTAAAGCCCTGTCTGTAACTAACTGGCACGTGTAGGTAGTATCCCCACTGAGGCATCCACCACCTCAGATGTGAAATTTTCTTATTCCATCCAACAAAGTTCAGTAGAAGTATAAAAATGATTTCCCTCTATGTTTAATTAGCAACAAAAGCCTTGAACATACCTGTGCCCCAAGTACACATTCTCCATGATAGGGATGAAGCACATCTTTGTTTACCGTGGATGCTATTTTTTGTATGAAATTAAATAACATGAGAGATTTCACTTCTGTATTGACTCAAGTATTTGTTTGTTTACTGCTGATCTCAATGTTGGTTGAAACTTTTCATACGGGTGCACTTTTTCTAGTATCATCTCAAGTACTGCTTGTAGTTCATAGAACCACCAGCAGAAAATGACTGCTGAACTTGGACTATGAACCTGCTAAGTTCTTGTTTGAATTTTGACCTTTGTATAATGCCTAGCATTTTCCGGTGTGTAGTATGCTTAACGATTCATATAAAATTAACTTTTGTGCCTCATTGGGTGGTTTTGCAGGTTAAGTGAGAATTATTATTATTATTTTCGTGTGTGTGTGTGTGCGGTATGCGGGCCTCTCACTGTTGTGGCCTCTCCCGTTGCGGAGCACAGACTCCGGACGCGCAGGCTCAGCGGCCATGGCTCACGGGCCTAGCCGCCCCGCGGCATGTGGGATCTTCCCAGACTGGGGCACGAACCCGTGTCCCCTGCATTGGCAGGCAGACTCTCAACCACTGCGCCACCAGGAAAGCCCGAGAATTATTTTGAGGGTTTATGGGGCCACAGTTTCAGTGCACGTTGACCCTAAATGCCCCTTCTGCCCTACCACACCAACCCCAGACTTGAAAATAACAGAATATAACGCTGGTTTCTGAGGTTAAACTAGTGGGCTCCACAAAGATTGAATACATGTAGCTGCCTCTGGAATAAATGGCATTATCTCTATAGATGTGTGATGGAAGAAGTTTAGAACATGGAGAACTCCCATCAGGGTGATAGGCAAAGAAATTTGGTGAGGCAAGATGTGTATGGGATTGTAGTATAGGAAGGAGAAATTAAATAAATGGACTGTAACCTTGCAGAGAAAAGCAGCAAGAATGGGAGAAGGGGCAGGGCTCGGAATAGGTCATTCACCACCCTAAACAGCCAGGTGTTTGTCAAGTTGGTGCCTGTTACCATTTGTACAACGTCCTCCCCTGCTTGAATTCTATGTAGTCGTGCCTGCATGCGAAAGATGGGTTGGTCTTGTAGGAACAAGTTTATTGACCATCAGGTTTTTTTGTGGTGCACGTTCGGTTTTTTAATGTCTTCTCTGCCAGACTGTCAGCTCTGCGGCTGTGAGCAGGAAGTGTGATGATGTGTTGTCCAGTTTCTCCACATTACCTGTTGTGGGATGTGGCACAAAGTAGGTGCTTATAAAATAACTGTTGAATGAATGAATGTGGTGACAAAACCAGGTTTTTGAGCCTTCAGAACTGAGGACCAGAGAAAGCCATAGTGAATTCACTAAGTTGATGCCCCTTGGTTCAGTCGTGTGGCAGAAACCAAACCTAGCTGCACCACTATTACGTTTTGTGCCTTCCAGTCAAATACAACAGCTTGGAAAGCGACCACAAGGGCTGCTCAATAAATAATGTGTATTTTGTTCATGTATTCTGGGGGTGATTACAGTTTGATTAAGTGTCAAACCTTCGGTTTCCATTTCACCATGTCAAAATGACCTCTGGGTTTTAGACCTATTCGGTTCAATAAAGCAGTGTTTATTGGTTATTTATCCTTCAATAAAAGGATTTGTTAGTCAACAAGTTGAATTTCTAGGACTCAATATAAAATAAAGGGGCTTTGAGATTTATGATGGCAATACCAGCAGCAGTTTTGAAGCACAAGGTTGTGTATAAGCTGCTCCTGAGTGAGTACTGGATCTTAATAGTTTTATTTGTAAAACACATATAGCATTAACCATGTGCCTAGCGCTACTCTGCCTTAGAAATGAGTTTTTGTAAAGAGCATCCCTGTGGAGTCTAGGTTTGTTAGCTTCATTTTTCAGAGGTGAAAACTGAGGCACAGAGAGGTTAAGTAACTTTCCCAAGATCACACAGCTAGTTAAGTACAGGAGCTGGGATATGTTTCAGGCAGTCTGGTTCCAGAGCCCATGTGTTTTTCACCTCCATGCTATCCTGTCTCTCTATAATACAAACAGCTACCAGCACATGCTGGATTGTTTTATAAAGTTTGAACAGCACTGTGCTATTAAATTGAAACATTGTGATCCCATTTGTTTCTCTTGATACTGCCTAGCTGCCTGTGCTTCATTTCCTGGGTAGAAGAAAGCTTTCAGGGAGCATTCCTTTCCTCCTTTTGCTTCTGATCATGATCGTTATGACTCTCATCTCATTGGCCCTTTTCCACTCTTTGGTGTTGGAGCACCAGTAACTGACTGCTTCTGATTGAAGGAGTGTTTAGTTCAAGGTGTAGTTAACTTGAGGGTTCATTGTCCTAGTGCGAAGTCATGTAATCCTTCCCCAGGCTTGAATTCTCCCCACTTGACATTTTACCAAGAATTCCTTTTGAGTCTGTTCCACGGTTGAATCAGAGTGGTAGTCAAGTTCTTCCTTATTTGACCACAGTCTATCTTGAGTTGTAAGTCCTTGCCTTTCTTGCGCTGTTCCTTCTGATGACACTTCTGTTGGGGATGATTAGAGAAGAGGGAAACCAGGATTTGGAAAGAGAAAATAATGGTTATGGTGTAGAGGTTTTTTCATCTTAATTGTGGGAGAGAGTGAGGAAAATAAAGCAAAATAAATCCAGGTGGAGCCTATGTCTTTGGGGAAGAAGAGAGAGACACTTTTTCTAGTTGGATCTGTTCTGGCTGGAAATGATCACCACTGAAGCTAAATTACTGCTTTTTACCTACGTACCCTGTGCCAGGGTCAATACTCGGCATTACTCTTCATGCACTGTTTATAACCTTACACCAAGGAAAGTTGTGTTTCTCCCATTTTCTACTGAGGGAACTGAGTTAAGATAGGGTAAGTAACTTGTTCAAGAGTGCTTATTTTGTAAGTAGCAGAACTGGAATCCAGCTGTAAGAATGTTGTGGACCATGACCTTCTATCATAGGACACTGGTCACGTGCCATATAAGAGACTGTTACTGGTATTAATAATAGTAGTTGGGGCCAGATGAGTTTAAGCCCATTGTTTTCTCATTACTCTGATGAAGGATAATTTGGCGAATATCCTGTAAGCAAATCTTTATGTACTTCTCTGTTCAGTTTAATTCAACAAACATATTGTTGAGTGCTAATTATGTGCTAAAGGATAAAAAGATGAATAAGGTAAATACCATTTATTTAAATTGAGGCAACATTGTTTTATAACATGATATAAGTTTCGAGTGTACAACATTATATTTCTACAGCATCCTCGTCACCAAAAATATAGTTTCCATCCATCACCATACTGTTGATCTCCTTTATCTGTTTCACCCTCCTCCCCACCCCTCCCCTCTGGTAACCATTACTCTGTTCTCTGTATCTACGTGTTTGTTTTTATTTGATTTATTCTTTTTTTTTAATTCCACAGTGAGAGAAATCATATATTTGTCTTTCTCTGGCTTATTTCACATAGCATAATACCCTCAAGGTCCATCCATGTTGTTGCAAATGACAAGATTTCATCTTTTTTATGGCTGAGTAGTATTCCAGTGTGTGTGTGTGTGTGTGTACACACATATATACTACAATCTTCTTTATCCATTCATCTGTTGATGGGCACTCAGATTGTTTCCATCT